TTGGCCACCAGGTCTCAGAAGGAAGAAGGCACAGGAGGCTGATGACAACCATCATCCATTCCCTCTCCCGGTAACGTAAGCGTCACGGTATTTAGGTGGCCGTGTGCCCAGTGGCTCGCTAAAGACTACTTTTCCTACTGGGATGGGCCATGTGATTAAGCTCTGGCTAAGGAGATGTGTAGAGCATTGAGAAAGGCTGCTAAAAGGGACTGTTTGGGCTGAAAGGTATGTTTTGTTTGTTTGTTTGTTTTGGGTCCTCTTCATACTTCCTCCTTCTGTTGTTAGTTTGGAAAGCACGTTAAACCATGAGGTGACAGAAGCCAGCACTGAAGATACCTGCATAGAAAGCGAGGAGCCTGGGCCCACAATGGCACAATGAACCACCGTATCACCCCAGGACTGTCTACCTCTGGACTTATTCTACATGACAGAGAAAAAAAAAAAACACCCGTTATCTAAGACGCTGCTAATTAGTTTTTATGTTATATGCAGTCAAACCTAATTGTAACTGATCCAGATGGTTTTCCTACTGCCTTCACGTTTCCTTCTAAGTCTCTTTGCCCACCCTTTAAAAATTGGTATTCCGGCCCTGGCCGGTATGGCTCAGTTGGTTGGGTGTTATCCCATACACTGAAAGGTCTCCAGTTCAATTCCTGGTCAGGGCACATGTCAGAGTTTGGGGCTCAATCCCCAGGAGGGGGCACGCAGGAGGCAACCGATCAATGGTTCTCTCTCATCAATGTTTCTCTCTCCCTCACCCTTCTTCTCTCTCTATAAAATCAATAAAAATATATTTAAAAATTGGTATTCCTTACACATCCTTACAATAGAATAGTGCTCAGCAATGAGACAGACCGCTGATACATGCACCAACCGAAATGACTCCTACCGACTCTCACACTCAGTGAAAAATGCCAGACATCAAAGAGCATATCCTGTATGCTTCCACTTACATGAAGTTCCAGAACAGGCAAAACTAATCTATGATTGAAAGAGAGTAAAAATAGCAGTTGCTTCTGGGAGTGGGGGCACAGGGAACTTTCTGGGTGATGGAAATGTTCTGTATCTTTTAAAAATATATGTATTTTTATTGATTTCAGAGAGGAAGGGAGAGGGAGAGAGAGACAGAAACATCTGCACCCTACTGGGGGTCAAGCCCGCAACCCAAGCACGTGCTCTTGACCGGAATCAAACCCGGAACCTTCCAGGCCGCAGACCAATGCTCTATCCACTGAGCCGAACCAGCAAGAGCAGTGTTCTGTACCTTGACAGAGACTTGGGGTACACGGGTGGATTCATTCATCAAACAGTACCTTTAAGATTTGTGCATTTCACTAAATACTGAGCTCTAGCTGATGATATGCAGGCTTATGTGTTGAAGTAAAGTGCGCTGGTGTCAGCAACTTACTCTGAAGCACATGCAAAGTAAGATGGGTTGGTGATGTTCAGAGGGAGGGACGGGTGTGTGATAAAGCAAGTGCAGGAAAACGGTAATTACAGACTCCGGATGATGGGCATGTGGGTGTTCACTATACAACTCTTCAAACCTTTCAGTGTGTGTGAAATTGTTCATAATAAAGTAGTGGGGTAATTGGTGATCCCTGGCGCCTGCCACTCCTACTTTGCTCCCTCTCCCAAATCTAATTTACATTCCAGGGTGAGGTCTGGGTGGCGACCCGTCTCCCTGATTGGTTCCCGAACATCTCTAACTTCTAGGCCACATCATCCAGGTGGAAAACTCAGGCGGCATTTCAGATTCTTCCCTCTTCCTGCTCCTCATCTCCCACACCCCGAACTATGCCCACTCCTCACCCTCCTCTCTACCCTCACCAACGCTTACGAGGACAATTCCAACACTCTCTCCGCTGTTCAAAATTTAACAGTTCCCCACTCACTTCAAGGTACAGCCCGAACTCCTCAGTTCAAAGCCCTTCATGGTCACCGACTCTACCTTTACAAGGTCATAGTCTGCTGCCCTGTGATATCAGACATCTTCTAGGTCCCTGTAGTGGGTAGAATAATAGCCCCCAAATGTATACGTCTGAATCCTAACCGTGGTACCTGCAGATGTGACTTTATTTGGGGGGGAAAAGGGTCTTTGCAGGTGTAATTAAGTTAAGGATCTTGAAATGATGTTATCCTAGATGAACTCAGTGGGTCCTAAATCTGACGATGTGTCCTTATAGGCAACAGAAGGGGCGACAGCACACCCAGAAGGAAGCCATGTGACGGTGGAGGCGGAGACTGCAGTGATGCTGCCAAAGCAAGGGAAGCATGGAGTCACCAGGCGCTGGAAGAGGCGAGAATTCTCCCCGAGAGCCCTGGCTGGGAGCGTGACCCTGCCAACACTGTGATCTTGGACTCCTGGCCTCCAGACTGTGAGAAAATAAACTCCTGTTG